TATATATCTCCATTTTAATCTATATTAGTCTGCTTGGGCTCCCGTAACAAAATACTACAGACTAGGAGACTGGGGACTTAAATCCCAGAAGTTTATGTCTCACGGTTCTGGAGGTTGGAAGTCCCAGATCAGGGCGTTGGCACGGACAGGGTCTGGTGAAAGCCCTCTTCCCGGCTTGCTGACTGTGTTCTTGCTGTGGCTTCACACGGCAGGCAGAGAGTGAGTTCAGGGTCTCTTCCACTCCTTATAAGGGCACTAATCCCATCATGGGATCCCATGCTGTAATCTAACCTAACCCTATTTCCCTCCCAAAGTCCTCATCTCCAAATACTATCATACTAAAGGTTAGTGCTTCAACACAGGAATTTGGAGGGGTGGGTTGGAGGGGGAGTACAAACATCCAGGCTATAACTGGATTACATAAATTCAGGCTAGGAGACTGGACTACATAAATCATGATGCATCAACACTATGGAATGCTCTGCGGTCTTGAAATAACATTCCACTATTGTGGTGTCAACAGGGAAGACCTCAGTGACATGTGAAGTGAAAAAGTCATGTTATAATACAATTATACAGCATGACCCCATTCTTCTCAATACCAGGGACAAGACTGGTAAAACCTGGACCCTGCGGCCAACCCCTGACCAGAGGGCAGGCGGAGCACTGAGATTTGGACAGCCTCTCCCAGACTATGACAGGAAGAGAGGGGGACTCTTCAATACAAAGAGGGAGCTGAGTAGACAAAAAAGGAAGAACTACCAGCCACGTTTTCATTTCTTGAGTCCTCACTCCATGCCAGGCCCAGTTCTATAAGCCCTGAAACGTGTCATCACATTTAACCTTCACAGCGCCCTTTGAGATGGGTGCTGTTACTCCCATTTCCTACAAGGGAAGAAGCAGAGACTTAGTTGGAGTCACTTAGCAAAGGTTCAGGGCGGAGCCAGGTTCTAAGCACGGCCTGGACTGCACCAAAGCCATGAGGCTAATCACCAAATCCTAAAACAACAAGGCATTCCTTTCTCTGTGTCACTCGCTGCCAACACAGCAGCAGGCACACAGAGTCATCAGAATAAGAAATGCTGATTGGAAATGAACAGAGAGGACACAAGAAGTGATGGAAGGGGGAGGGGGGTTGGGTTTGCCTCGGAAAGAGGGACAAAAACAGAAGGAGGACTCGAGACAGGACAAAAACGTTTGCAACAGTCACATCTAACAAAACAGCTTCATCTAACAAAGAGAGAAAGAGAACGGGAATAAAAATGCTCCTGTCCGCAGAAAGACTTAGGTATGGTCAGAGAACATGCCTTGGGAGAAAACACAGCAATTGCTCCCAAACACTGCCCACTGTCCATTTTAACACAGTGCCCCTGCTTGGGCTCAGGAATCTCTTCCCCACATTCCTATAGAAACAAGCCACATGAGTAATCACAGGCCCCCGACCCCAGAGCAGATTAATAACGTGTTCCCCCTTGGAAACTGGGAAAAGGGGTTCCTCTGATGGAAGGGAGGAAACTTCTTCCTTCAGCACCTCATCCCCTTCCTCCTCAACACTTGACACACACACTCGAGTATGCCACTTCCCACTTGCACACATGCATTCCCATATTCTTCACTCTCCCCGCCCCCCCACACACACAGCCCTGTGGCACCATTTGGGAGTTACCACCCCACCTCCCAGCAGCCATCCTCCTCCAGCTCTCTGCCAACAGAACCTCAACTGTGTTAGGAAGACAATGTGCCTGCTCCTAAGCCAACTCTGCTTCCTTTTGCCAGATTCCCTTGCAGCTAAGAGTGATCATGTGACACAGTTCTAGTCAATGAGACAGAAGGGGCTTCTTCTAGTGGGGGGTGGCGGCAGGGTCCAGAAAGGGTCTTTATTTGCTGCCCTACTGAATTAGGGCACATTGATCCCATCTCTTTACAGAACCTTCCTGGCAGAAAAGCTAAAGTTTCCCAGACTCCTTTGCAGCTGGGCTTCTGGATATGAATTCATTTCTGCCAATTGGTTGCACTTGCACAATACTTTGAAGGCAGAAACGGGGCGGAGACAGCTTCCTGCGGTTTGGTCTCTTTGCTGCTGGGGGTAAACAAGTTTGCAGAGATTGGGGTTTTCTGCAGCAGAATTCAGGTGTCCAGTCACCAGGCCACGGGTGTGGACAGGCAGTCGTGGCAGAGACAGCAGCCTGGCTGCCTTTCCAGGGTCCGGTGACCTGTTCTGCAGGAGCTGGAAAGCAGGTGCAGTGGTGGCAGTTTCCTGAACCCTGGATCACAGCTATGGCAGTGCGTTCTAGAGCTCATTCATTCCACTGGCCAACTCCTGATGCCCACCTTCCCAGCTGTGGCTGGTCAGCGTTGCTGTGTCCAGGCAGTTTTTCCTGGGGGCCGCGCCTAACGCCCACTCCTCTAGCTTTTCCAGTGATTTTCCAAGCACTAATTCCCTGTGCTAAATTATTTTCTGCCTAAAATAGCGAAGATCTAGCAACATTTAGAATCCTCTGGTTTCAACCAAAAAATGCTAAAGATGTCAGGCATGAAAAGTGTATGAAGAGGCCTCAGGGAAGGCACCATATCTTTGAGCCTCAGTTTCTTCTTCTGTAGAAGACCAAAGATTATTATTATCATTATCATCAGTTAATAGTTATTGAGTACTGTGGCAGATTGTATCTCTCAAAGATGGTCGCAACAGTATTTCCCATCCCATAGGCCTTCCACAGGTGACCTCGCCACTTTCCGTCACGTCGGAGGAGTCTAACCCCCTCGCTTTTGAATCTGGGCTACCCTCCGACTCTCTTGCAACCAACAGAATACAGCCGAATCGACACCGCCTAAACTCCGACGACAGGGAAAAGGCACGAATCTCCCGCCCCGCCAACTCCGCCAGGCGCTCGGGGCCCGGGCCCGCCCACTCTGCGCGGGGGTCAAGCTCCTGAGGGGCGGGGACGGGGCCTGGGAGGGACCGCGCGGTTCGGCCCCGCCCACCCCGCGTGCGCCTCGGGATCCGGAGGGGCGGGGTCTGGAGGGCGGGGCCTGGAGGGATGGCGCGGGTCCGGCCCCGCCCACCCCGCGTGCGGTTCCGGAGGGGCGGGGTCGGTGGGCAGGGCCGGGGAGGGATCGCGCGGCTCCGGCCCCGCCCACGCCGTTCCAGGCTCAGGCTCTGGCGGGCCCCGCCCACCGGCGCTCGCTTCCCCCTCCGGTCTGGTGCGGCCGCGGCAGCGCTTTGCCGCGCGCCATGGCCGGGTTGCTGGCGCTGCTGGGTCCCGCGGGCAGGGTGGGCGCCCGGGTCCGGCCTCGCGCCTCCTGGCTCCTGGGCGCCGCCGCTCCCTACGCTCCGCGCCCCTTGTTGCTGCCGCTGCTCCAGCCCGGGCCGGACGCCCCGCTGCTACGCGCGGTCCGCGGGGACAGCTGCGGCCGCCAGGTAAGCCTCCCCACCCCCACCCCGGTCCCCGGGCGTCCGGATCCCGGTCCGCCTCCGCCGAAGGAGAGCTTTACTCGCCCGGCTGTCCGAGACCGATTCCCCCAGGGCCCCCGAGGCCCCAATCCCTACAAGCCAAGGAAGCGATCCTCCCAGTTGACAGCCGGAGAAACCGAGGCTCAGGGAGGTCTGGTGCTCTGCCCAAGGTCACACAGACTCTGAGCCCCCGCGGCCGGCACAGCGGCGGCAGCCCAGAGAATCGTCGCTGGGGCCTGGACTTGCTAGCAGCGTGCTCACATGGCTGTCAGAGTTGTTTCTCCTTCAAGTGGCGCTAGAGCCTCCTCCGCACTGGGCCAAGGAGAACGGCCCCGGGCGTGCTGCTCTCTTGAACACCCTCCCATCACTTGCTGCTACTGCCCATTTAAGCAAAAGAGCAGGCCTCCCTACCAGGCTTCAGGCGAGACTCGCGCAAGAAGCAGTGTTGTTCCGTCCTGTTTCATTTCGCTTGCCTTCTATCTATGGTAAGTGAAAACTGGTTTCCCTTCAGAAAAGTAATACGAACTTTCTTTAAAAAAAAAAAAAATTTTTTTGTTTTTTTTTTTTTTTTTTTAAGTTCGTCTCCTGAAAGAAAAACAGTAGTAAGCGCAGTCTGGAGACACAGGACTGACGAGTTGGGACGCGCAGAACCTGGCTTCCTGCCGTCCCTTTGCCTAGGGACGGGATCCCTCCGCTTACCAGCCCTGTGACCTCACCCCAAGGAGGCTGAAGGCTCTGAGCCTGTTTGCTGACCTTTCAAAGGGCTAAAGATAGCAGCTTCCCAACAAGAGTTTGGGGGACAGCCCCATGAGCTGAAGCAGGCCTGAGCACAGTGCCAGTGGAGCTTCCTGAATGAATGTTCCATGGGAATTTGACTCACACCCTTACCATGCCTCCTGCCTTCTGCTCCCCCCATCCAACAGGCAGCACATCTTGTCCCTAAATCCTGAGCCCTCCACACATATCTGGTTGCCTCCTAGTGACTCTTCATGGATCAGCCCACCTGTCCCTTCCTCCAGGAAGCCTTCCCCGATCACCAGTGATGCCTTGGGTGCCTCCACTGGCCTCCCTCAGTCCCATGCGTGTGGATCCTCTCTGCACTCATCATCTGGAATGGTCTCCTGACTTGCTTGTCTGTCCCATCAGCTGCATCAGTTTTGCCCCCAGCCCAGGCCTTGGCACTGGCAGGTGTGTGCGTGTGTGTGTGTGTGTGTGTGTGTGTGAGTGAGAGAGAGGAAGAGAGCGTGTGCAAATATGCATATGTATGTGCATAATATTGTGTATACAGTAGTAACAACTGCGGTCTCAAGACTCCCCGTATTCCTGTCTCTATTCAATAGTTCTGTGGCCTTGATCAAATCCCCCCACTTCTCTGTTTCTCAGTTTCCTCGTCTGTAAAATGGGATGTTAATAATCCACATTTCTTGGAGCATGAGTGTGAAAGCTGGCATCGGGTACATCCTAAATTAATGTTAGCTATTGATGTTACTATCACAGTAAATGTATAAATCACAGGGCTCCAGGAGCTGTGCTTGTTTCTCCTGCTCTCTGGTAGATGGGCAGGATCTAAGTGGGACTAGAACTTAACAGGATGTTAGGACAAAAGATACTCATCAAAGTGTCATCTCCCTGAGAAAATACATCTCCGGTGGGGCCTGGGAGCAGGTGCAGGGGTCTCCCCTGTCAGCTTCTCCTGGCTACCACAGGCACCTTGTTTTTGGCCATTGGGAGGAGGGAGTGCAGCTAGGCTCTCCATCCGTGCCAGGATTTTAAGTAAGTACCTGAGAGACCTTCCCACGTCTGCCTTTAGCAGGGTCTCCACTCTAACTGGGAGGAAGGAGGTAAAGCCACAGGAGAATGCTGCCTTTTTCACTTAACCTGATTCATGTCTTGTCACCTGGCAGAGCCTGCCTACAGTTAAACTATGGGAGGGAAATCTTAGGCAAATGATTTGCTCTCTTTGAGCCCCAGTGTCTTTTGTCAGTTCTTGCTCATGTGCTGCGTTTTCAGGGAGCCCCTCCTTGATGGCCTTAAACTGGCAGCATCCCTCCCCACAGTCCTCCCCATCTGCCTCCCTTCCTTGATGTTTCTCCATAGCACTTGTCCTGTCTAGCAGCCCTGATACTTTCCTTTTCTGTTTATTGTCCCTGCCCTCCCCACTAGACCATAGGCTCCCTGAGGGTAGAGTTTTGTCTGTTTCATTCATGGCTCTATCCCCCACACTTAGAGCAGTGCCCCGCATAGAGCCGTTATCCATGAGTGAGGAGCACAGCATAGTTGTTTAGAGCAAAAGCCTTGGAACCAGCAGGTTTAGATCCCACCCGTGACAGGTAATTCCTGTGTGACCCTCTGAAAGTTACTCAACCTCTCTGGGCTTCCAGGATCCTCTTCTGTTCAGTGAGGATGACAATAGTGCCTATCGCACAAGGCTGTTGTGAGGATTATCTGAGTTAATATTTTCAAGTACTCAGAAGAGTGCTTGGTACAAAATAAACACAATGTAGTGTTGTGTTTAGTATTATTACTTATTGAATGAATGAAAATAGATGTCACTCCAGACAATGTGAGCAACATCTTTGCCTTATTCTTCAAACCCTCCTGCCCCTTCTAATATAACCTTTTATACTTTAATAAGTATTTGGCTTGGGGTGGGGGGAGGTAATCTCTCTCTCTCTCTTCTCTCTCTCTCTCTCTCTCTCTCTCACCACCCCCCCACACACAGAGGCATGGATATAAAAGCGCTTTGGCTAAGTACAGACACTAGGGGATATATAATGTTACATGCACCCAGGGCAGTGCCTAACATAACATATCACAGGTACTTAGGGTGATATTTCACAGAGATGAATGTCTGAAAAGTTTCCATTCCTTTGAAGCCACCCCCTCAAAAATTCCTTTGTTTTAGTTTCTTCATTCTCCTCCAGGGTTAGGAAGAAAACCCGAATGGTTCACAGTGCTTAAAGATACCTCCTTTTACCACAATAAAAGGAAGAAAATTGTCCCAAGATTCTAAATCTAGAAAGTTAACAATGAACCCTGCTGCTGGCTAACAGGAAATTGTCCACCGTGTCTGAATATTTTATCCCTCCCATTGTTTTGCAGGAGATGCGGGTTATTCTGTAGCTGGAAGTCTGGCTGCCTCTTTATTTTTCTTTTTTGGCCAGAAGTCCTTTTGCCAAAATAGAGGTTGTAAAGAAGCGAGCCCTCAACAGAGACAGCTCCACTCGGCTGTGGTGAATGGCCAGATGTGACGTAATTAAGTTTGGTCGGGCCAAGTGTCAAGGGTGGGAAATGAAAGGGGCTTTCTCCCTCCTCAGCCTCAGAACGTTGTTTGGCACTTGGACTGTAGATTGTAGATCATTGTGCTATCAGTGCCTGACGTCTGGAGAGCAGGGCTTCCTTGGCAGCCGAAAGGTGGGTGGGGCCTTGTTTATCAGAAAGAACTGAACCTCATCTGAGCAGCCATTCTGGCCGGTGGGAGGCAGAGCCAGGCAAAAGCTTTGAGGAAAAGGGGAAGTTACACGTGCTGGCCAACCTAAAGGAGACTGGCTGGTTTTCCTTCTCCCTGCCAAAGCCTTGAAGTCCGGGAAAAATGTTCCAGAACTTTAGGAGTGTTCAGCTCTTACAGGACATGAAGGCGAGTCTGACTGCAGGAGCCGTGTGGCCTCGAGGTGGCCAGTGCAGTGACCCATCCAGACACTGCCAGCCTGCTCGCCACTCGCCCCCAAACCTCAGTCTCCTGCCTGTCAAAGTGGGAGCCACAGAGGTGCCCACATCATGGGGTTACCGTGAGGGTTTTTATGAAATGACGCCTTTAAAGCGCTAAGCCCAGCACCTGGCTCAATAGAAGGGGGCCTAGCCTGAGGACACAGGTGGTTTCCGTAAAACCTTTCAGAAGTTCTGCGCTCCTGCCTATCAGAATGCACTCTCTGAGGGGCACCTGGCTGGCTCCGTCAGTGGAGTACACGACTCTTGATCTTGGGGTTGTGACCTCGAGCCCCACCCACGTCGGGTGAAGAGATTAAAGATAAAAAATCTTGAGTCAAAAAAAAAGGGTGGGGGGCTGCACGTGGGTGGCTCAGCAGGTTAAGCGTCTGATTCTTGGCTTTGGCTCAGGTCATGATCTGAGGGTCCAGCTCCACGCTCAGTGGGGAGTCTGCTTGAGATTCTCCCTCTCTCTTCCTCTGCCCCTCCCCGTCCATGTGTGCATGCTCGCTCTAAAAAAAAAAAAACAAAAAACACTCTCTGAAATCCATGACCCAGTACTGGATCTCAACAGCCCCTCCCCTTGTATTAAGTCTCTGTTTTCATAACTCTGAAAGTGGCCGTAACATTTGATTCCCAGGAATGTGAGCAGCGTTTAATGAAATTGAGATGAATTCCAGGAACGAAGCTTATGGATAGGAGTCCCCCGTCGGCTGCACAGCAGGTGCACCTGAGGACCAGGGAGGGCCCCCCTGGAGAACATGCTGAGGGTGGGAAAGCATGGCAAAGTGAGGCAGGATTGGTAAGCAGGGGTTTACCTGGCAACCCCGGGCAATTGATAACTAATCCCAGTGCCCAGGCCTCACCCCAGAGCACAAAATCCGACTCTGGGCACCTGGACATAGGTACAAATGGACCAGCAGCACTTGAGCCACCTGGGAGCTCATGAGAAAAGCCACCTACCCCCTACCCCGCCCCATATGCTTGGTCAAAGCTCAAGCCCACAGGGCAGGGGCCCCTGAAGCAGGGCAGGGCTGGGAGGTCCCCTGCAGCCCCGGGGAGCCTTGCTAGATTTGGAGGTGCTGCTCCGGGCCCCTGTGTTGTTTCATTTTCATTCGGGGAGTCCTGCGCCTCCCTCCTGGGGACTCTGGGCTGTCATACTCCTCCCTCTTGCCTTTGAACTGCAGCTCGAGTGCAGCCCGCTCTAAAAATACGAAGGAAAAACCAATCATGCTGCGAGGCAGAAACTGGAGCTCACTGACCCAGATACTTCCTCCCAGGAAGAGCTCTGAGACAGGTCATTAAGATTCAAGAAATCTTTTCATAAAAAAGGCACTCTCCATATTGAGAAGGAGCCTTTTTTAAAAGAAATCCAGCATTCTTGGGTTTTTTTTTCTCCCAAATATCCCAGGCCCTGTAGGTACTCAGTAAATGTTAAGAGAAGCCAAGTCCGGTGGTTTGTTTCTGTGCAAGTCCCAGCCGGTGCGTTTATGGCCCAGGAATCGGCCCTCCCTGTATCTGCTCAGCTCTCCAGGGTAAACCCTGCTTCTGATAGTAAATAGACCGTAGCTTCTGCTCCATTTTATTTTGCACCCACTGTCCTTGTTTTGTAGAGTCTAAGATGGTTGTCGCGTGCTCAGGCTGTGGACCCAGATAATCTGGATTCTAGTTTTGGTGACTTTGGGCCAATTCTTCGGTCTTTGAGGCCTGTGTTGTTCCTCTGGAAAGTGGGAAGAAAACAGTATCTACCTAGAAGGTGATCGCAAGAATGAAAGCTGACAGCAGATGGAGAGAAGCATCTGAGCACTGCCTGGCTGGCAGACAGTGCTCAATAAAGCACCATCGGTGTTCCCAAGCGTGTGAGCCCCAAGGTTTTAGTTACTGTTGCTGCTCTAACAGCTTACCAGAAATCCAGTGGCTTAAAACAACACACATTTATTACCTCACAGGTCTGGAGGCCAGATGTCCAAAATGGGTCTCAATGGGCTTAAGTCAAGGCATGGGCAGGGCTGGTTCCTTCTGGAAGTTCTGAGAGAGAATCCATTTCCCGACTTTTCCGGCATCTAGAGGCCACATGGACTCCTTGGCCCGTGGCCCTTTCCTCAGATCTCTGACTCTGCTTCTGGGCTCACATCATCCCTGAATCCCCTGCCTCCCTCTCTTCACTGATAAGGACCCTTGTGATTACATTGGTCCCACTCAGAAAATCCATGATGCCCTGCCCATCTCAAGATACTTAATCACATCTGCGAAATCCTTTTGCCATGTTAGGTAACACAGTCACAGGTTCTGGGGATTAGGACCCGGATATCTTCGGGGCCGTCATTCTGCCGATCATACCCGATACCCAGCTTTTCAGGGCGATCAGTGTCAAAAGTGGGCATTAGCCTCAGCTTACTGAGGAGGAAGGGGGCAACTGGTCCCTCACTGGGCAGGAGGGAGAGTAGAACACTGCGTGATATGAAAGCTGCTGATGGCCACTAAGACCCTTGCTCCTGCCCCAGAATGTCTCCCTTTCTTTTTGTTTGTGCACAGGACCCCAGCAAAATCACTGAGACACCAGCGCCGCCCGTCAGCAGCACAGGGGAAGAAAAGCAAAGCAAGTCACAGCAGCTTAGAAAGATTTTTCAAGAGTATGGTGCCGTTGGCGTGTCACTGCACATTGGAATCTCACTAATCTCCTTGGGCATATTTTACATGGTGGTTTCAAGGTAAGATCTCGGCAGGAACAAATCTTTGTTTTTTTACTGTCATGTATGATTCTTTGTGAATGAGAACATTTTTCTTATGAATGTGTATTCATCTAGCCACTTCTGTCATTTTTTTTTTTTTTTGGTCTCTTTCTGCAGCGGTGTGGACATGTCTGCAATCCTGCTTAAACTCGGATTTAAAGAGTCACTGGTGCAGTCGAAAATGGCGGCGGGCACAAGTACCTTTGTGGTGGCCTACGCCATCCACAAGCTGTTTGCCCCGGTGCGAATCAGCATCACCTTAGTGTCTGTGCCCTTCATTGTCAGATATTTTCGCAAAGTGGGATTTTTTAAACCTCCAGCTGCAAAGCCTTGATGATCTCTTCAAACCTATTTCTTTTAAATAGAAATTCTGGGTTAGTTTTAGGATAGAGCTTTTCTGGGGGGCGGGGAGGGTGGGGACAGGAAGCTAATTGCTATGTTCTGGTAAAGTTTTACCTTTGGCAACAAAATTCAGGTTCTTTTAATAATTGTAATTATTTTGCTTTACAAATGTAGTTAATGCTATTCATCATAGGGCTTATATGCATAATCTAAAATGTCAGCAAAACATCACAAGTTGAGTTGTCATCTCAAACGAAACTGTTAGCCTACAAAACGCTCCTTCTGGAAGATCACTGGTGAGGTTCTAGTCTGCAGAAGCCCCCGGGGTTAATCTTCGCTCAAATTCTTAAAGGGCGACGATTCATTAAGCTGGCTTTTTAAAATTCCCATTCCTCCAGTATCTGTCGTCAGGCTGCCTGTGGTTTAATAGACGATATGATGCAAAACAGCTGAATTTGATGAAGCAAAATTTCCAACTTAACAATATGTAATCAGGATCTAAGTTAGCATCAACGCTTTGACGTTCAATACACTTGTTTTAGGGAAGAAAAATAACCGAGTATTTCTGGTGTGTTTCGTTGATCTGAAAACACCTTCAAATCTGGACGTGCTGGTCCCTATCTCAGGTGGCTTTTCTCAAATTTCAGTGAAGTAGGTCAGGGTCATTTGTCTCTGTTTAGGTAAAATAAGGGAATTTTATCCAGTAGTAATGGGATCACGTGGCTCCTGATGGCCTTATCCATGGGTGAATTTGGATCCTGCACACATGGAAAGCTAAGACAATCTTTGCTTAACCTTCTCTCTCTCAAACTTCAGACATTCCAGAACTACCATCACAATGTTTACATTGTGTTGCTACTTATATTTTTTAATTGAGTTAAAATTGTTATGTAGAAAAAGATTTTGTGTCACTCTCTAAAAAGGAAAATTAGCTGCACTTGCTGTAAATGGGAGGCAACTGTGAAATACTGTGAAATAATACAAAATAATACAAGCCGAGGAGGGAGGGGGTGGGCAGGTGTTATTACCTTCTGTTGAGCCAGTGCTGTGAGGGACATTATTAGTTAAAAACAGAAACAAGCACACAGATTCAAATTGACATTTTTGTCCCTGAAACAGGAGCAGGCAGACTGGAGGAATTCCTTTCTGTGGGATTCATGTAATGCTACCTTCCAGGCTGTATCCACACACAGCACGGTCCACACTGGGACCCCGATTCAACCAGGTCTGCCCTGCCACCTGGGTCAAGAGAGATCCAATTTTGGGAGGGGGTTTAATTACATATGTGACAATCAGAAAACTAAAGGAACTATAAATTGACCATCCTGGTTTTACCACCTGGCTGCTGACCGTTCCCTGGTTAAGCCTTAGTAACCTATGTCCGTTATTTCAGTTAACTTTTACAAGAACATTTGTGGGACAGATTCTCCACTTGCAAGATTGTTAAAGTGCACTCCCCCCCCACACACACACACCCCTTTAAAGCAATTAGCCCATTGCCAAAAGGCTTTACTGATTTCAAGTTAGAACTGCCTTTCTGGGATCTAATTCCAAGGACATCGACACAGCTGAACAAGATGCCTGATAAGAGTGCTAGGCAGTCCCTCCTGTGGTCTGGGCTCTGTTTACACAGTTGGCTTCACGCTCCTAACCACCTTCTCGACCAGGCTCTCTACCACTCAGATCCCTAGTAATGCCTATGCAAAAAAAAAGCTGACGGTGAGTCCTACAGGTTTAAGGGCTGAAATCTTAAACTTTGATTCCATGTTTGGAGGAATGGAAGTGGACTGACAGGGCAAGCAATAAAACCAATCACCAAACCAAATAGCCACAGCCTTCTCTTCTAAGCCCCACCTCCACTCCACTCCTGCAGCCAGTGGCCGCAACAGAACAGGCAGGGAACCTGGAGAAGATGAGATCAAAGGATCAGGGAATTTGTGACTTCACGAGCAAGAGGTACAGATTGCTTGTATTTACATTGTTTTTATGGAACTAGGGGAATAAAACGTCTATTTTAAAACTGTAAGCCATTGTTCACCCCTAACTTTGTATCTGATGAAACAAGCCACTTAAATTCCCTGAAACAAACATCTTTATAGTGAAGAACTTTGGATTCCTCTTCTGGTTAAGCCATAACTGTCGCTGATTAGGAAGCAGCCCTGTGTGTGACTAGTTAATGTTGTGCTACTACAATGAACTATTTTCTTTGCTTGTGTAGGATTCTGTTTGGGGAAATGACAGAAGTTTAGCTGGTGTCACTGGTGAAGTTGGTCACATCATACTATCACTTGGGTGGATGGTGCATGAAATACTACTTTGGGAATGTAAAAGTTGGTTAACTCAAGACTGAAAAGCTCCTTTATCCCAGGGGGCTATCTGGGTGGACACCTGCAGCTTTATTCTGTTGTGCTCTGAAGCTTCTGTCACTGTGTCACCAAAGCTGACATGGAAGTCTGTTAGCCACTTGTCATTTCTAGTATCTAGTTCCTTGCGTCAAATGAAGGTCGGCCATGAAAACACAGTTCTCTATTAGTTTTCAGGAACTTCAACGTTTCCAAGGTCAAGTTCACCCTCTTTGGCTGAGAAGTTGGCAGCTAGAAACAACTATGTAACTTTATGCATTAGGAGCACCTAGTACATGAGATCAGAAAAGGGATATACCTGCCCCTCTCACCATACCTGCTCATTTCCAGGCCAACGGTGAACAGGCAGTGAGCAGAATTACCCATGCAGCCAAGATGTATTTGTGTTCTTAGGTTTGAAGTTTACATACATGCCATAACTCCAAAGTAATAAATATTAATAACCTGCCAAGTGTCCCTTGGGAGCCAGATAACAAGGGGAGCAGAGAAGCCTCTACCAGCTGTACTGAAGGGGCAGCAGGCTTGATCCCCCACGGCTGGAAATGAGGGATTCCAGTTAAGCAAACATTCCTTCAGAGAATTAAGAGCCACGCTTGGAAAATCAGTTTGCAAAGAACTAGTTCACCCCACGTGTGAGCTCTTTGCATCTAACTGAAAACATGGTCAGAGCCCAGTGGGCAGGTATGGATGTAGATGACCGATTCCTTCATCCCTCCCTCTGTCCTGACCACCTGCAGCTCTAGTGAACCCCCAAAGGTCCCAGGCCAGGTGTACCCGCTTCTGTGAACTATTGCTGACTCAGCTGATTCCCCAGGATGAGGACCCACCAAGGATCCCAGCTCCATGAGCTGGGCTGCTGTCCTGCCTGCCCTGAATGTCCAGAACCTAGGACGGGAACTCACGCTTCCCGGGCACACGGGACAGTGTGCAGGATGGAGAGAGGGCGCCGGCTGCCCCCATCCCCCGACTCCTGGGGCCCCTCCACCACCCAGTCACACAGCCGCGTGCTTGTAGCCTGTGCTGCCATGTTTCCTGCTGCTCCCTCCCTGGCCTACGGGGACCTCTTGCCATTCCTGCCTCCATCCTTTCAATCCTTCCGTGAAGCCTAGTTCAGATGCCACTCCCTCGGGGTGCCTCTCCCACCTAATTACCCATCAGTTTTGCCGGCTCCCTGACTTGTCGCCCCTCCCCTGCTCCGGTCAGTGTCTCCCCTACTAAGTTGTGTCCCCAGTCGTCATAGGATGGATATGTTCGCAGGCCAGGCCAGCTCCAGAACCACAGCCCCGACAGCACCACGGAGGCGCCTTCCCACCCTCCCAGTGGGCCCATGCTCAGCCCAGCATTTCTCAAAGGGTACAATGAACTGGGATATGCATTATCATTTCAAGGTTAGACACAGGAGAACTTTAATTATAATCATTTTATAGGTGACTTAATGTGCTTTACAAAAACTAAAACCTCAAAACCATGAAATAATAAGCCCTTTAACATTTAGAAAGAGCTGCGACAGGTCTAATCTAGCCAGCCCCAAGATGAAGGTAGAGCACATGTTTCTATTTCACAGTCTCGGAGGAGATGAGGACTCACTCGCCAGGCAGAGGTGTGGGACACGGAGCGCAGTCCTAAAGGGATGCCATGGAAAGAAAAAGTCTATACAAAAATCTTTATTTTAACATTTAAAAGAAAGAATCACATGTTCATCCTGACAGCTTTCCCAGGCTTGGCCACCCAATAAGTTACACACACACGAAGGTACTTGGAAGGTTATTGCACGCCTCTGTCATTGATGGAGTCACAGTGATGTGGCCACTCTCCCCGCAGTCAGACCCCGAGCCTGTCCTCCCTCCACCAGGAGGCCTCACTCGGACCAGGCTGTGGGGAGGCTCCAGGTGGACCTCGGCTCTGGATCGTGAAGCTAGTGACATAGCCACACTTCCTGTGGCTACCTTCACTCCAGAGCACAGTGTTCACTGAAGGGGACTCTTGGGTGGGGAGGCTGAGGCAGCGCCCTCGGGCACGGGCAGGCCTGTTCCTGACACCATACAGCAGCCCTGCCTCTCAGATTCCTCCCCCTGCACCATTCTTAAGAGTGTTTGCTAGTTGATTCTTTGCTTTTTTGGCTACTTGATGGTTTTGATGAATTTGCTGTGATCCAGGGGTGCTCAAGTACTTCTTTGAGAGTTGGCCTTTGGCTGGGATTATGTTTCAACAGTCTTGAAATGAGGTCCCTGGCTCCCTCCGGCACGAAGTCAGGGAATGTGAACTCAACCTGGAGTACAGTAAGTTGACAGTCACAAAACGCAGCTTAGAACAGTAGAAATAGCTCACAGCCATAGTTAAAGGCTGAGAAGAATTCTACAAGAAGCAATGGATCATTTCTCATTAGGTCTTACCCGCGATATTCTTTTGTAGGTCTCTTGGTATGTGCTTGCCTCAAAAGGAGGCTTTCCAACTAGAAATTCATAGCAAAGAACCCCAAGGCTCCAGAGATCCACCTTCTCATCATGCATTCGGCCTTCAATCATCTCTGGGGGCAAGTAATCCAGGGTGCCACAGAGGGTGGTTCTCCTAAAAATAGAGGTAGGCTCAGGTTGGTATGCTTCTGTTTGTATTAGCACAAGAGCAGCTAAATGTCATTAACAATGACACTGACATTGATTGAGCGCTCTTCCTAGGCCACATCCTGTACTATTTAAATCCACGGTTTTAGGGGCGCCTGGGTGGCTCAGTTGGTTGTGTCCAACTCTTGATTTCGACAACTCAGATCATGATCTCAGGGTCATAAGATCGAGCCCTGAGTCGGGCTCTGTGCTCAGCGGGGAGTCAGCTTGAGATTCTTTTTCTCCCTCTCCCTCTGCTCCTCCCCACCCACATGCTCGCACGCGTGTGCACACGCTCTCTTAAATGAATCTAAAAAAATAAATAAAT